TTTTAAATGATGAGAATATACAGGTGGGCAGCACACAGTTTGCTGGTTATCTCCCATCGTGACACATTGCCACCCACTCATCAATGAGATAAATTGCTCCCGAGGGTGCTGTCCTTCCTCTGGGGAAAATGACAAGTTGCAGAGAAAAATGATAGGGTTGCTGCCATGTATTTATAGCTTAGCTAACACTTCAAATCTTGAATTCCAGCCTTCAGAATGATATTTGAAGATTGCAGGAGCCTTTTAAATGCTCCCTCTTTCAAGTTGTTCAAGAGATTGATGTTTAACACAAGTACAAGTTAGGAATGTGAAGAAATATTTTTAGAAATATGTTTCAGTGGTTGTTTTAATTATATTCTGTAAAAATGATGTTTAGATTGACCAAGTGTGTTTGTCTTGTAAACGATCCATTTTCCACTGGTATTTAATCAGCTTCACACACCGATGTGTTGTTTTTTTTTTTTATCTCACAGTAGTTCCTCCAGATATCTCCACGACTCCGTAATCTGAATAGATAGCATAGTTTAATTGCAATGTAAAGGCATATGCCTGGCTTTAATACCTGCAAGGTAATATATTTCTTACTGACTGTTGGCAAGTTTTACAAGCAGTTGATCAAGATGCACTGATAAAAGGTTTTTGAGGCTTATTTCTAATCACTTTCTTTTAAAAAGATGAATAACAAAATATTAATTTAGTCTTTTCTGATTAGTTTTCAAACTTAACTTTCTGAATAAGAGTTACTTAACACTTCAGCTAAAACTAACAGATGTATCTCACCCTCATCACTGGAAATCTGTAGTTCCAGTGAACTCCTCCAGACCTATCTATAAACCGGTCAATCTAAACCCATCGTGGTTCAGGAGGCACCATCACCTCCAAATAACAAGCTTTGACACAAGTCAAGTAGATTTTTCAGCCTACTTTAAAAACTTATTCAACCCTCATTCATTCAAACCTAGCAATCAGAGCTCAAGGTGGGCTGATCTTTTTTAAAACTCACCTATGTAACTTGAGAGGTCAGATCCGTCTCTAAATGGGTCTTGTGACTTAAAGCTATACTTTACGGCGGTCTGAGCTCTTCTTAAACGTTACAGCTTTTTTCTGGAATTTTTCATGGCTTAAAGGCTCGTTCACATGGCAACATAATCATACCTCTACTAAAATATTTTGTCACTGGATTGTGACGATAGTTTATAATTTACACCTACATCATTTTAAAGTAGCAAAACTGGCCAGAAAAAAATTATGCGATTTTAAATTTTGTAACTTGCAATTTTTACCACCTAAAAACACTTTATATTCACTTTTAGCTTCGACAACCAGGAGCAGAGAATCACACTTTTTCTTTTATCGCCATGTTTTGAAAATCACCAGACAATTTTATAATGCCACTGAGTCAACCAGCCTTATTGGCACTGAGTTAAAATTAGGATGTGATGCCAACATCATAAACCAGTTTTTTACATGTAAGAATTTTTTCTTTTTGGTTCAGATTAAAGCATTAAAATGTGGAGCTGAAATAGAGAAAGCAAATGTGAAGTCATGCTTCATATCCTTTCTTAAACGTAATTTAACTATTCCAGAACCTGAAGAGGACCAGATAGTATACAAAGTTGAAAAGCAATGTGGAAGATAGAAAAAGGTGAAGATATGCTCTAAACCCAAACCGTAAAAAGCTACCCGGAGGACCGTCGCCTCCATATATGGTTCATCTGCTCTACAGACTGACCCATGCCATGCTCCCAACATGTGGCATTTTAAACCGTTATATTAACCTCAACCTGTTTGAGTTTTCTTTCATTTCCTAATCCAGCATGAATTAGACTCCTTGCTTTTATTTCAGCTTCATGTTATCTGCTGATCTTTCCCTCCAAATGAGGCATCCTAAATGAACCCCCCCCCCTTCATGTATAAAAAATGCAATGTTTTCTTTTTTTAATGACACATTCATCCTTAAAAGCATCTATTTCATGAGGTATGAAGGGTAATTCATTCCTCCTCATTCAGAAACATCATCCACACTGAAGAGTGTTGTTGGCGTGACATTCAGAAAAAGCTTGGATCTGGTCATACCTTGCTAACCCTAGAGTCCTTCCGTTTCGTACCAGTCTACCTTCTGTTCCTCCTCAATCCAGAGATTGAGGTGGACCAGGTATCTGCCATTAGCTTTGCTTCTTCACTAAAATTAGTTATACCAATTCATATTAACATCTAAATTCAACTATCAAGTGTTACATTTAAGATCAGATTCAATTCTGTAAATTTTACATTGATGTTATATTTGTTTATAAATTGAAATCTCACAATTTTGTGAATAAAAGAGACATTACTGAAAAATATTTTTACAATAGTCTTTTTATTTAACCCACTAAGACTAAAGCATTGATGAGCAGACTGACACCCTGTTGGTTCGATCGAGATGCATTTATACGCCTGTAGCCTAAGGGTCACCAACGCAGTGCCAGTCGGCACCAAGGGGCCCTCCAGGACCACGTGGGGGACCTTCAGCGCAGAGTCCTGCACAGGTCTGATATTTCAAAAGACAGAAACCAAAGGCAGCTCCATGTAAGGTGAAGAAAGTAATAAAAAAAAAAAACTTGAGTATTCGCGCAAGCTGCGAGGACAGGCAGAAGAGTGCTGCAGTTCTGAATTTTGGCCACAGGTGGTAGTATTATTCCAAAGTTGTGTAATGCTCCTTTAAAAATAGATTGTGGCTCTTTTACCTTTTTGTCCTTAGGTGTAATTCAGTGTCAGTCGCTCCTGTAGTATTGAGAATGTATTTTTATTTTTTTCTGGAAATGTTTCATCAAAGTGGATCTAACAGCAGTTTTCTCTGTGAACACAGCACTTTTCTTCTGAGCTGTTGATATTTATCGCCACTTCCTCTTCACGCCACTGTTATGTTTTTATAGTTATAACCAGTTTTAGTAGTATTTTTGGGTTTGTTTTCATTCTTAGCTATTTCAACTGTAGTGTTTGAATCCTACTGACTAACTTTGGGTATTATTTATGTTTTGTTTGAGTTAAAGTTATTTTAAAGTCCTATTAAATTGTCCTTGTTTAACAAAAAAACTGCAACAAAACATACAGACCTGCATGTTTTTTCCTTGCAAACTGTCTTAGTCCTCACTTAGTCAGAGTATCATCCTCTCCAACTTTTTCTTTCTAAAATGCGGATTAGATAACAGCTCCTTATCAAGATATTATATACTCACTTATGTAGAGACTAAATGATTGAAGTGGTGCTTTTCAGAGAGCCTTCAGCAAATTAAAAAAGGAAAAGTTGCACAGCTCCAGTGACGAGGCTCATGATCAGAGGATGTTGAATAACTTGGCCAACTCAATTAACTTTAACTACAGGATTTATGCCATAAACTACATGTTGCTCATCAGTCCGCCCCCCCCAGCTGTGCTCTATCTGCCTCACCCTTATTGAAGCTCTCCTCCCCCCCTCTCCCCTTTGTTGTCACACTCAAGAGTTCCTGTGGAAGAGCTTTATAAAAGAGGGATGAGGATGGCGAGTGAACACAGAGGGGTGGGGGGTTTTCTCATGGTGGTCGTCATGGATCCCTCACCATAGCAACTGGAGAGCGTTTACAAAGCATTGAGGAATTTCCTCATATCAGCTGGATTATTGGAGCGCTTGGAGACGTCTCTCATTTAAAACTCATGCAGGATATCATCAGGAACCTAGCAGGGGATGAAACCCCAATCTTTTTTATTCTTTCTTCCAATATTTTGGAAAGTAGGGAACTTTTTTTCTCCTCCCCCCTTGCTGTACCATTCTTTTGCATGTCGTACCCCAGCTCTTTCTTCCTTCTCCCTGTGTCTTTTATTTTTAAAGAGCCTTTGTGTCGCTCCATTTTTAGCTCCCCTTTGCTATGCTGCACACACTGTGACCCAGTGGAAAGCAAAGTAGTGGTAGTGGGTTTGGCCTTCAGGAAACCACTCAACCCTGTTGGTAATTTTAGCTCCTCTGCTATAGCTTTCCCTCATTAGTCTGTTCTGATACGAAGACTTTTACTGGAGTGCACTGTGTTAGTCCCATTGTCTTTGATTAAAATAAAATTTAAAAAGCCAGTGGATCTTAGGGTTTCTTTTGGGCTGCTCAGTGGCGCAGTGGGTAGCACTGCTGCTTTGCAGCAAGAAGGTTCCAGGTTGGATTCCCGGCCTGGGGTCTTTATGCTTGGAGTTTGCATGTTCTCCCAGTGCAATGGTGGGCTTTCTCTGGTTACTCCGGCTTCCTCCCACCAAAAACATGACTCTTAGATAAATTGGCTTCTCTAAATCTTCCTTAGGTGTAATTGTGTGTGTGAATGATTGTTTGTCCTGTTTGTCTCTGTGTTGCCCTGCGATGGACTCGAGACCTTTCCAGGGTTTACCCCGCCTCTCCCACTTAGACAGCGAACCCCCTTGGGATAAGCGTGACACAAAAGATGGATGGATGGATGGATGGGTTTGTTTTTATTATATTTAGAGAATAGTCATTAAACCAAAGTAAAAAAGCAACAAAAGTGACCCTGCCACTGTCTGTTTTGTGGGTCTCTTTCAGTTATATCAAACCAGGGTATAGGAGCAAATGTAAAATTCACACAAAATGACCAAGAATCACAAGGATACTTAAAACATTTTTCTACATATTAGGAATATTTCTGGTGAAATGTTCCTGGTCTTGCATATGGTATCTTATTCTTTAGTAATGTTTGCTCATGTTTCAGCTACCTTAATTTCTAAAGTTTGGTGAGAACTTCACACTGTATTTCAGCATAACCTACAAACGCCGACTTCTTAGACAATCATGGATTGGAAAAGTGTTGGATTTTTTCAGTTTCTGACTGAAGAGCCAATGATCAATAGCAATTGAACGAAACATCGTCCTATTCTACTCAACAATCATCTTAATTCACCTCCGGTTTTAAAAATGTATCACCTCCGAAGTTTATGCAGTGGGCTAATGTAGGACTATCCTGTATTTATTTGTCCTTTTTGTTTTCCAGCATGCAGAACTCAGAGGCAGCGGCAGACACCCCCACTGGTGTGGCAACGCTGCGGACATCATCATCAGCCCAGGCTCCTGTGGTACAGCCAGTCCCCGCCTCCCAGCAGGTAGGGAGACAGGACTGCCCTGCTGCTTCCATAAGGACAGGATAAAGCCTATACTCATTAGACTCCTTAATCCCAGTTAAGAAAATCTTTACTGTGGTCAAGAGCTTATAGTAAATCTTTTTTTAATGATTCAGTGCAGTGAGCTGCATACTTTTGAATGCACCAACAATAATCTTTCTAAATAACACAAGCAGAAACCTTGTTTAAGTTCTTAGATCGGTTGTTGATCAGAAATATAGGTATAAAACTTTAAGTTACTAACAGCTGTCTTTCTATCATTTGGTTCTACAAAAAGGCTGTTGCTGGCAGAGAGATTAGATTGCATGTCAGAAACATTAAAGCCAACATTTCTCATCTCATTTCCATCCCACTTGTCACCACATTCCTGTGTTTTAACCACTTGTTTGTCACTGACTTGTCAACATTATCTTTTCAGAAAGAAGCAGAGTTTAACATAGTAGTCGGTGTTTTCTGACTATGATGTTTTGACCTGTGTGTGTTTAGTCTAGTGTTTGAATGTGTGTACCTATGTAATTGAGTTGTGTCTCATATTCACACAGAGGGTGCTGGTTCAAGCCATAGGCTCAGCTCAGAAAGGAGGACAAGTATCAGTATCCAGGGCCTCCCAGCAGGTACACAGTACTGTGCATACCTGTACCGTGTTCTGAAAAGCTTTGGACACCCCTTGACTTGTTACAGGCTACTTCAATTTTTTTTAATATATATATTTCAGTTTAGCCATTTACATTATGAATCTTCCTAATATCTCATCACAGCGTTCCATTCAGTTTTACATCTAGACTTTAACTAGGCCCTTCTTAGTTACTCTTTGTTACAATAGTCTTTGTAGAGCAGCCAATCCTTGAAAGGTTCACTGCTCCATAATCTCTCTATTTGTGTATCAATGCTCTTATTTTGGTTTTCTGTGATCACACAAAGCCTTAGAAGTGATTCATACTGTTATATCGGTGACTTTGTTTACTGCCCGTCTGCTGATTATGGGCATTTATTGTCCACTTAATGTTGTCATAAAGGTTCATTAAAGTAATTCCAAGACCCTTCAGGTCGGGTAGTAATGAGTGTAGCTAGTAAAATAAAACCAGTAAATGTGGTTTGGCACAGATAATTTAAGAATGAACAAAAGAGGAAATTGTATTTTGTAACAGGGCCTGGCTGGATTCAACACGTTTTCTCTCTTTAGCAAAATCATGATTTTACTCATTGATGATTGATTTATTTTTTTATATGTAATAAAAATATAATATAATATGAATAAATCAAAGACTTAGTCAATCAGAAAAAGAATCTCACTTGATTGGATTCTATCCAAAATACAAAATTAAGAGATTTAATGAATTTATGATTAGACTTTAAACATTTCGGTTTTGTTTGGTAAATATAAATCCTGATCTTACTCATTATCTTCCTCTACCACTTGAAGATATGGAACATTTTATTCTGTGGCTGAGCTGTGAAACCTGAGTTAGTCAGGCAGTTTTCTTTTTCTTATTTGGCACAGGAGCTTCCTTTTCCCCAATGTGAAGGGAGGTATCAGGCTCTTTAGGTTTTTTTTGTCCTCATAAGAGTTGGTGTTGATACTGTATTCCACCTCATTTTGTTAGAAACATCTTTATTGAAATACTTTTGTTAAAACATCTGCAAGGTTGTTGTCAGCACCCCCCCCCCCCCCCCCCCCCCCCTTCCTCTAAGAAACTCTCATAGGGCTGTCAGTCTTATGAAGGAAGGACTCTTATCAACATGCTAAACATACAGAGAGAAGCTCAGATTTAAACATAAACTGGAATGATTTCAGCTGCAATAATGTTGGCATTGTTAAGTGCAGCATTATTCAAATGCTGCACTTAACAAAGAGCATGTTTACAGTAATATTTTTATCAACATGTTTCCTCCAATTCAATGTAAAATTAATATTTCGAAGCAGCCAGCCAGAGTCCCGGCTTAAATCTGATAGAAAATCTGTTGAAAGAGTTTACAGTTAGAGGGATGCTGAGGAGGCCTTTCAACGTGGAAAACTCTGAGCTCGTCACCAAAACAGGTGATTAAAATACCCTAAAAATCAGAAAAACAAATATTCATTGATTATAATAAAGGGCCTATCGATTGATTGTGACTCTGGATTTGATAATAAAATGAAAGTAAGATTTTGTTATGAAAGATTTTTTGCATGGTCAAATTTTCGGATGATGTAATCTGATCACCAATCATAAACAAACTTCTTGTTGGATAGAAATGGTTCCAAATCTAAAACTGCCAGGGCTATGGACAGTTTGGGGCTTAGGTGTTCAATGTGACATGTTACCTTGTAATGAGGAGGAGTCTTTGTTTTCTACCTGCTGCAGATTTATAATGTTTCTCCTGAAGGCTTGAACCAAAACCCAACCATTTTCCACAACGTTTTCCTCCATTGTCATAGTTTAGTAGATCATATATCTTTTATCGTGTAACTTCATCATCTCAACCTCATATAGAACCTACATTTCTCTCTGTGTTAAGGTTATGATGAACTTCATAATCAGTTGAAAAGAATTAAATGTAATTGCTTTACATCCAAATATATTGGCACCCCAGGTAAGGCGTAAGTTTTTTTTTTTTTAATAAAACAATGTTTTGCTTCTGTTTTATAGCCTCAGATAAAAAAAATTATAAATTGGATTATCTTTATCCAGTGTGGAGAAACCAAAACCCACAGAGACTAATGCTTTCTTTATTTAAAGATGGGATATAGAGTTAATTAACAACAGAAAAAGAGTTTTCATTTTTAATAGCGAGGACTGAACGGTTATGATTATGGATTGGCAAAAACATATTTTCATTTCGTTTAGCCAAAGTGTGCCATAACGGCTGCTTTAGAAACCAAATGCTTCGGTTGTAGCCATAAAACCAGTAAAGTCACACCAGCACAATGCTCGTCTTGAAGAACCTACATTTCTGCTGTTATCTGTAATGACACACAGATGTTTAGCATTGCATTGCTCTAAAGAGGGCAGGGGGCTCTTTGAGTGACCTAAATAGAAGCCTAGACTCAAGAGGATGGATTTGGACCTGAAGAAAATTCAGCACCTGAGGAAAGAGAGATGTGGTTGCAAAGTAAAATGCATTTGCTATGTGGGAAAATACAAAATAAAATCTCCCAAACGCAAGGGAAAACAGGTTTGTGCAGTTTGGCAGCACAAATCTGCATTACTTCAATCTCATGTGTTTTTTTTTTTGTTTTGTTTTTTTAATTATTAATAGCAAAATTGTGTGTCACTTTAATGTGTCACATTAAAGTGTAAAGTGTAACTCACCCCCTGTTAAGCATAAACCAGTACACAGATAACTTTAACAAAATACAACCAACATGGTTGGAATCGTCTTTCACATTTGTCCTGGGAAATTTAATCAGAGACAAGATGTGGCTTTTACTACAGAGACAAGCTTTTTAGAGTCAAAATTGAATATGGATAAAATGATATTGACAAATGATAAGAGCTTTGTGTAGGGCTTAAAAAAAAAGATGTTTTGATTTAGCCCTAGAAGGACTAGTTTGTCGTCCTTCTTTATGTTGCCTTTTTCTGTATATGGCTTTGTGAAGCTTTCCTCTATGAAAGGCTCTTGATAAATACATCTTAGAATCACATTCTGTTTGAGCCAATAGGAAAATAAATCAGCAGTAGCCACTCTTCAACCCTAAGAGGGCAGCACTAAGAGGGATTTAAGACAATATTGCATTGCAGAAATAAACAAAATCACAATAACATGATAAATACACATTAACACTAAAATATTACCATAGCTATACAATATATAATATAACAATAAAATAATGTCAAATATTGTTCACCTAAAACAAAAACGCATAGAAAAAATTGTTTGTTTTTTTGTTTTTTTTGTCTCATTGAATACATTTATGTATTTTTATTATATGTTCTCATGTTATTTTAGTCATTTATTTTTTCTTTCACACACCCTTCTGCGGTGAAATATTTATTTATTTTTTTTTCCGATTCAGCAACGTCTGTTTGGACAGATTGTCAATAAGCCAAGGGGTGGATAGTTTTTTACTGTTGTTTTTTCAGTGTGTTTTACCTAAGCACTGCTGTTTTAACTCTAAACTCTCCTTTTTTTTAATTTTATCTTTGTATGAGCAGCAGGTGCCACATGTCTACCAGTCCCAAGTACAATATGTAGGAGAAAGCGAGGAAGCTGTTTATACCAACGGAACTATGTAAGACCGGTTCTTTCATTTTACTTTGTTAATGAGGTTTTTAGGTTCTGTTTAAAGGCACTAAATAATAAATGGGAAGGGGAAAAAAACAGTCTTAGTAGTGAAAAAACCTCCAGGTATTTCTTTCAAAGTCTGACTCAGAGCTACACCTGCATTTAGCATCCAATGATTGTTGATCCGGTGATCTTTGTGACTCAAGTTTGAACAAGTGTTGTGTTGATAAACGGTGACCGATAAGATCTCCTACACTATTTGTTTTATATGTGTCACCAACTGGTTTTAATGTAGCTCCAATCAACTTGCCATTTAGAATAATTAAGGCTCAGTTGTTTTGTTTTTTTCTTAAAGTTTCAGTGATTCATTTTACTACGATAATACCAAATATTGTGACATCAGTTAGTCATCTTCCCTTTGAACACAAATATCTCTCAGCAGACCTGTTGCTTTACACTAGAGTTGTCACCATACTGAAATTTGAAGCTAGATATCGAAATCAAGGAAAATATTTGATAATTAAAAGCATAAAGAATATTTTTATTTACATAAACATTTTTTAATCTTAACTTGGAACTTGCCTTCCAAGTTGACATAAATACCAACAGAATCATAAATAACTGACAAATAGGTGTTGAAATAAATGCAAAATAACTTAAATAAAACGCATTTTGACAGTATTTTAAGGTTGGCTGAGGTGTTATTATTAAATATGCAAAACATCCAGAAATGTAAAATTATCAAGAGAAAAAATATTCAAATAAGCATTCTTAAATATCGTCACCATGACAATGTTTGTGTACCTTACTTTACACTGGACAAACACTAATGAGAATTTGTTTTCCAAGCATTCATGTCCAATAATGGACACTTCCAAGGGCCTTATCCCATTTTTACCACGAACAATTACAAAATAAATAAATGTTAAATGTCATCTATCGTAATAACTAATGCAGTTTTGTAATTATTGCTCCTTTACCATTAACATTGTACATTTTTGTATTATTTAATAACTGTCATTATGACTTGTTACAAAGTTAATCTGATTTGGCCACAGAACCTGTAGCTCAATCAGCAGCAAATGGCAAATTAGATTTAATCAGCAGAGGGAAGTAATATTATTTTTAAATGTTATGTTAAATGATACAAGGTATAGTTTCATAGGGCAAGTGCAGCCAACATTTGAGCTAGACCAAAAACTTTCAACAATCAGGGTCCTTAAAAAGGCTCCTACAGCACCTTTTAACGAAGACCCTGCAGCCAATTAGAATCGATAATGTTAAAGGAATGATTAAAATGTTCAGAATATGGCAGGGTGGCATCAGCCAGCATTACTAAAACAGCAGCCTTTAGTTTAACTTGTCATCACTTCCTATGCCTTATTTTGGAAAGAAAAGATCCCGTTATAGCCCCACGAGTTCTCACTAAAGGGCAGAACAGCATAACAGGAAAGCATGTAGTTGACATACTAATGTTGGATGTTTTCATTACAAGCTGATAAAGACTATCCCACATTTTACCACTATGTTTCTCTTTCTTTTCTCTTAGGGAGCTTTACTAGCTCAGCCATTGAAAATCGACTTCAGATGGCAATAAAAGTTAATTTAACTAAAATGTTACTGAAGCTCAGAATTTAGCTACAAAACAGGCTAATGCAGCAATTAGTATGATGTGCAGCAGTACTGAGTAGTTTTCTTACTGTGTGATGCATTCACTAGGTTTCCGACTAATCGGGGGCCTATCGAGCTAAAAGGTCGGACAGTTCTTGCCCATTAATTGATTTCTAAGTGCATCTCTTTTTTCCACAATCCCCTCAAACAGGATTCAGTGTATTTCAGTATCATATAATGTGAGATGGATTTAAAAAGCATGTCATGCTAACTGCAGTGATCTTTCTCCAGCCGAACAGCCTACTCCTACAACCCTGACTCTCAGCTGTATGGACAAGGTAGCGGAGGGACCTACTTTGACTCCCAGGCTGGTGGAACCCACGTCACCACTGTGGTCTCCTCCGCCAGCAGTGGCGTGCCTCCTCATGGCATGGTCGGCATTGCCATGGACGTGGGCAGCAGCCACATCATCTCCGGTGGCAGCACCTACCTGCTTCATAGCGGAGGCTTGGACGGAAACCGCAACCACATCTCACACTCGTCTCGCTCCTCCTCAGCAATGGTGAGGATAACTCCTGCTCCTGTGGTGGGGCTGTTATAGCTGTAGTTTCTATTGTCTCACCAGTCAGTACCCATGTCCAGACTAACCATCCTTTATGCCAGGGGTCCGCATCAGGAGCTGTTGTACTGTTATATGAACAATCACTGAGAGAAAAGTGGTGCTAGGCCGTAAGCCTGTAGAAGTGGGACTTTGCCTTAAGGAAGCGCTGCCTTGTTTTATGGGTTTTCACAGGCCTTGAGCACCCCCTGAAACAAAGAAACCCCTGGGGCTTATTACCATTTGGCTAAGGGTCCTCTGGAGCTCTCTTTGAACACTGCCTGCTTCTCTTTCTTCTCTCATGTCTGAAGTTTAGTGCAGTTTTCATAGATTTTCATCCTTAACTTTAGAAAATCCTCCTGCTTTACTCACTCAGTTAAAGCTTTAAGCAGACTTGGATTGTTTTTTGTTTAGATGTTTTTCTTATAAAGTTTTAGAATTATGTAGGGTTAATATATTTAGTGCTTAATTTTGACATAGTATCATCTTGCCTTATCTACTTCTTTGGTTTTACTGATGTTTTCTCTGCTTTTATTAAACTCTGAGATGATTGACATTGTTGATCCTCCGTCCCAGGTCTGGATGTGACCCGTATCCCTGTTTGTTGTTCTAGTTTTGCATACTTTGGTGTTAGGACCTTCACTGAGCCGCTTAACCCTATGAGTCCCCTGATTTGCATGCTTTTGTCAGCCAATAATTGATTTGGCTGCAACACTGACTATTTGAATGGAAATGCACAGATCTGGCTGCTTTCTAACAGTCTTATTTCCCTTCTCGCTTCTTTTTCCCCCAACATTATGTCCCTGGTTATTTCTTTTCCTCTCTCTCTCTCTCTCTCCCTCTTTTCGCTCTGCATCCTCCCCCTTCTGTGTCCTTTTTTTCTGTTTTGCATGCTTCTTTCTTCAGCTTGAAATGGCGATTGAAAACCTCCAAAAGTCTGAAGGAATTGCCAGTCACAAAAGCAGCCTGCTCAACAGCCATGTAAGTCAAACAGGAACTTTCTATGTAAGGAAACATCAGAAAGTGACGACTGAATCTCTAGCCTCTGTGTTCTGCTTGTGTCTGCTCAGTGAAATACACTATTTCCTTTCTAATTTTATTTTGATATTATTTTCTTTTAATTCTTGATCTGAAATCAGAGCTGTGTGCTTTTACTTTTCATGACATGCAGATTTGAGATGATTCCTTTGATGCATGGTTTATTACTGATTGTTTTTCTTACTTTCATTATAAGAGTAATCGAATTCGTTTTCACTGGCTAGCTTTATTTTTGGTTTTTATATCTGGTCATTTTACTTGGAAAACATTGATGTACTAACAGAAGTTACATAACTTTACAGCATTTTAAGTTTTCTGTTTAGTCATTACATTTTTAGCAGATTTTAGTGTATAAACAACTGACTCCACATCTTCCAATTCTCCTGTCAGGCCTTTATCATGCGGCTCAATGCCTACGAAGATATATATCCATTTTGTGTCACTCACAGACAAAAAATAAGATTAAGCTTGTTCTGTTCAGGTTAGGTAACCGGACCAAAATTATTTCTTTTTGTTAAATATAAAAAATTTAGCTTTGCATTCCTGATGAATTTGGATTAAAAAAAAGAGAGATTTTAACCAATAAGGAAAATAAAGTAAACTGCACGTGGGGAGCAAAGATCACACTGGATTCCCGTGGTGAGCAGAGCTAATCAAAACCATTTAAGGTCTCTGTTCTCCTACCCCATACTTGAGGTTACTTGATTCCGACATGAATTTTAAATCGAATTAGTATGAACCCATTCCAGATAACAAGCTGTAAGCTTTGGAGTCTGAACCGTTTGCTTCCTGGACCTTTGAGTAGACATTCAATATTGTTTGTCTTTCAACTGTTTTTCATTTTGCAAAGTAAAAGAAAAACTCAGTCGTTCCAGCTGATTCATCATTAAAATAAGACCATGGGATAGAACTGAAACGGATAAATCAGACACATATACAAAGCCAGTGCTAAAGGCTAAAATTATTTCTTATTTTCTTTTTTGATATGACTCATTGAAAAATAAGCTCCCCAAAAAAAATTTTATGAAGTATTTTATGTGGTAAAACTTGAAAAAAAAAAAAAAGCATTTGTCCACATGTTCTAATCTTAGTGCTTTCTTAAAAATATAATTCTAAAATCAAATATCCAGTTGCTTTCTTCCACAGTTACCTGAGGATATCTGAGCACACTGAGCTAAAGCAGCCAAGTCTCCCTTTTAACATTTGGTGTTTGGTCTCACTTATTCAGGAAGATCTTTACCGCATATTATAGTGTAGTTTAGATCAGCATGACTGAACAGAGCAACACAGAAAGATGAACATACTGTGTTATAAAAGGAGAATGAAGATGAAAACTGCTAAAGAAAAAAAAGACAAAATAAAGTGATATTCAGCAACACATTTAACATCTAATAAACTATGTTAAATATAAAACTTAAAAGATAATACCATCTTGATTTACCATGTTTTTGTTGTTTTCTAGAGGAATGTTTAATGGAATATTGATTGTGAGATGTCTGTTCTGTAAAGCCCAAGCTGCTATAGAAAAAACTCGCTGGTTAGACCATTAAAACTGTCTCCATGGACTGTTTGTGATTACTTATCAATGATGGGTACAACATCTCTCCAGCATGAAAACATTAAAGAAAAAAAAAAGCCACTCTGGTTCATTTATTAAGCTGAATTATGAAGCTTAAGCTTTTTTTGATTAAATGTCTTTAACGGATATAATCCAGAAAAAAACATCAGTACTGGAACAGGTTACAAAAAAGGGAAAGAGCAACAAGATATTTGATGCTTTCGGTTTATTTTTGTTTGTAAAATTTAAAATTTAATTAGTATTTCCTCATTTAAGTGTTTGATTTATATTATTTTATTTTACTATTTAGTTTCTTTTCTTTTTATTTTTTTTGTTTTTCAATTGTACATTTTTGTTTCTAATTTGTCACATAATTGATTCTGATTTTGATGCATTTAAATATTTTTTCCTTCTTGTAGTCGTTGGAAAAGGATTTTTTGCAAGGTGTAAGATTGTATAGTATTAAAAAAGGTTTAAAGGATGTGATTAAAGGTCTTCGTTTAACTTTGTTTTCAACATTCGAACAGGAGAAGCATTCCTGCATTAGGCAGCATTTATATGGAAATCATTCAGACTTAGTAAGGATCTCATCAGATCAGATTGACCTGCTCGTTTGCAGCTTGAGCTAAGAAATAAGTCAAATGTTTTGACACAGATTCATTTTAGTAAAATCCCTGATATTTCAAAACCCGAGGCCAAGTGATGCTCGTTTTATGTTGGCTTCTGTTATGATAAAAAGATCTTCCTTTGCTCTGCTCTGCAGCTGACCATCACAGAGCAGGCTCGTCTCCTGGAAACGCTGATGGTACAAATATATTCTTCTCTGTTTTTAGCTTCAGTGGCTGCTGGACAACTATGAGACGGCGGAGGGGGTGAGCCTGCCCCGGTGCTCCCTGTATAACCATTACCTAAGACACTGTCAGGAGCAGAAACTGGATCCTGTCAACGCAGCATCCTTTGGGAAACTCATCCGCTCAGTCTTTATGGGCCTAAGGACGCGGCGCCTTGGCACAAGGTAGGAGGACGCTGATAATAGGGATTGCATAAGTTTTCAAGATTCATTGAATACGATTATGCACTGAGGGACTGGTGGTGAAGAGCAAAGACAGTAATTACACTGATGGGGAGGCTTTTTTCACTGCTTTCTGAATATTTTCTCTTTTTGCTTCAGAGGCAACTCCAAGTACCATTACTATGGCATCCGGGTGAAGCCAGATTCTCCACTGAACCGGCTGCAGGAGGACACCCAGTACATGGCAATGAGGCAGCAGCCTGTCCACCAGAAACAGAGGTCAGACTCCTCTGAACTTGTACCATAATTATCGAATAAGTTAGGTTTTTTTCCACAACACTTAGTAATTTTCTGTCATAGTTGTTGCCGTTTGTTAACTGTACGCACTGCAACACTGTCCTCCTCCTTCTACTTTACATTTATGCTCTCCTTTTAGATGATATCTGAGACTAAATACTGATAAAATACTTTAAAACCAGTGTTTATAAAAAACAAGACATGGAGATTAAATGATGTATGAATATTAATTGGCATAAAATAAAAAGTTTAGCAAAACTATCAGATTTATTCTACTTTATTCCCTAAAATTAACTTGTTACTTTAGGCTGCTTAGAAAAATTATGGCTGGAAGAAAATATATCCACAAAAAAATATATAAGTAGATCAGCTTGAACTGACTTTTAAACAATTTTAATACTTTGAAGCTAAAATAAATATTCTGTAAGTGTATCTGTATTGATCTTTTCCTTGTTGACAGAAAGTTTAAAGAATGATTTCTAATGAACTGACAGCAGAGGAGTCAGAAAATAATGTTTTATAATCAGAAATATATACATTTACAATTATAAAGACAAAAGTCAGATAATTAATAATCAATGTAATATAAAAAATTTTTTTCAAGTACTACATCCTTTACTTTATGCAGTCTGTTACATTGATCCTATTCGGCCATGTTGTTTTTTTTCTACTAGGAGCCTTTTTCTTTGGTCAGGTTTGAGCTCTAATGATTATTTTATGGAAAGAACTTTGGGATCATCACAAGAGAACTATACTGTAGGGGTGAAACAATGCAGACATGTTTTCAAGAAGCCTCCAAAGTGCTTTTACACTGTATTCAGTCATTCACCTGCTGATGGAGGTAAGCTGCACTGTAGCCACAGCTGCACTGGGGCGCACTGATAGAAGCAAGGCATTCCTGCATCCTACGCCACTGTCACCCAAAATGGAATAAAAACATCAACCGTATTCAGAGGATCTCTACAAACAGCAGGTTGGGGTTGTGTATGTAAAAATAAGCAATTGGAACATAAATTCATTCTCTCAATTATGATGTTTTTGAAATAAAAGAACTTAAAAGATTCAATAAATATGGATGAATTAACAAACCTCTGGCATTGGCTGTAAAAATGGTGCCACCCTGCGCCTTTGCTGCTCAAACTTTTTTGTTAGCAATGTGAGGCGTGCCTTGGTGTTTTTCTTTTCTTGGTCAGCTGATTTTCTGTCCCTGCTTTTGCCCAGTTCCTCTTTCTCATTACTACCTGAGTCCATTGAGATTGTTTCCTTGGTTTGTTATGTGACCTCCTGGTTGATTCTGTGTTGTATGGAGGGTTTCCCTCCACTGCACATCCGACTCCAGCTGACCTTGCTTTGCTTTCTTTTTCTACTCTTATTAAATTGCTGTAGATGATTTTCTGCTGTGTTATATGTCCTCTGATCATTTTTGGTTATTTCAGTGAGCTAACCTGCATGGCTCGCTCTCACATGTGTGTGCAGGTTTAAGCCTCTGCAGAAGGTGGACAGCATGTCCGACAGCCTGTGTGGAAGCTCCCAGCACTGCAGCAGCACTCCAGAGCAGTCGGTGGCGGCTCAAAGCCAGCAGCACCAGCAGTATATCGGTAAACTAAAACAGAGGCTGCCTCTAAAGCTTTCTTTTTTTGTTGTTCCTTGACCTTTTAAAATGACAGGTTTGATATTTCTAAGCTACATTCGAAGATGTTTATATCAAACATGAGATCCACAACTAATTCCTTTAGAGTCACTCTAGCTTCATTTGGGGTTTTATAGATAAACACTGGTCCATGTTGATTTCCACAGATACGTCTCACTCCTTACCTCCGTTTCCCTCTCTGGACCTGGGCACACAGCCTCTTCCTGAGCACATGAGCATGAATGATATTAAAAAGCTGCAGACTCTCTACAGAGGCCACTGTGAGGTGAGATACATTTATATCAGTAATTTGGTTCAGAAACCAGACCTTGTAAGTAGTTCAAGTGTTTGTTAAAACTGCATCTAGTTATGGTTTACAGATTATGAACCAATACTTTTTTCCTGACCCCCCCCTAAAATAAATGGAATGTTAACAGATTTAAACGTTTCCATTGTTTGCTGTTGTACAGCAATGCTAATACTGCGAATTGGACAGTTATGCTACTCACTGAGTGTTAAAGAATAATAATAGAAGTGAAGTGGAGTTAAAACGTGTCGTAGAAAAGGTGCACGGCCGCCATAAGTGAGAGTCTTGAACTTAAACCTAATATATACTGTACGTCCAATCAGCGATCACCACTAGGTTTCCATAGTTACTCTGTTTGTTGAATTTGTTTACTGTGTACGTTTTGTTTTATTTAAATTTGCTGAAACAAAGAAAGTGTTTCATGAGTTACTTTACCATTTAGGTCAAGCCAAGGTTTTAGTTTCAGTTCTTGCTTCATCCAGTTGATCACAAATTGAATCCTTTGCTTCACTTAGCTGGTCATTAAAATAACAACACGGAAGCAGAATCTGTTTACAAAAGAAAAAATAAATCCTTCATCGTGTCCTGATATCGGCAAACCAAGCAGCAGTTGTATTTGTCTTATTTCCTAATGATAAATCTTATGGAGGATGAGAGAGTTGTAGGGAAACGATGGGTTTCATCACAGTATAGCGGTTACTTGTCAGAACAGATCACTGATGCAGGATGAAGATGGGAAACAGAAAACATGAGGCCAAGAATTTGGGATTAAGGCAGCAAAGTTGATCATATTATCGCTGCCTCGCCTTGTTCAGCTTCTCCACACACCTCCTTTGTTCCAGCCCTCTTTTCATCTCTGCACAGCTTTCAGGACTTGCCAATTAACCTTTCAGTGCGCTGGGTGGACATCTCGCTGGCCTCCCCTCCAGCCTTTGTGTTACTGTGTCTGCGGACAGGTGGACAGGCTCCTGTCTTTGTCCTCCGTCACATTTCTGTCTCCCCTACGCTCCCATGGACTAATGTCTCTGCATTTCTCCATCTTTGTCCTTTTTGGACAGAAATTTGCTGCAAAAGAAACACATTTGAAGCCTTCTTGGTTTATTACCTTAAAGCTTGTTTTAGAAGAGTTTGTCGATTAATCTCTATTAACAGCATGTCTGTGTGTGTACGCTACATTGGAATAACAATAGCTGACAGTTAATTAAAAGTCCTGCTTCTCAAAAACCTAAATATTATATGTGACCACTGGTATATGAATGAGTGCATCAGTGAGGCGTGATGAGGATCCGATCAACCTCTGAGGAATAAGGAAGCATAGGTTACTTTATTTTCTTCTCTTCTATGTTGGGTTTAACATCGCTCATCTTCCTCTCATCTCTCGTCCTTGTTCTTCATATTTTTTACTTCAGGCAGAGGGAAAACCTTGTTCAGTTAGTATTTTACTTGGTCAGAAACTAAGACTTGCTGAACAATTAAAAGCAGCCTCTCCATCCAGCTTGTCAGCAGAGGGAAGCTCAAAGTGCCTGTGCTGAATTTGGACCCGGTGGATTTGGATCCAACACCAGCAGATGACATGGCACCATTCCTCTCAAGGCTTATCTATTTTTCACCCACACCTTTTCCCTCTACTCAACTTTCCATTAATAGGCTTTAATACGGCGCTCTGAACATCCAGCTGCGTGTGCAGGACTGTTTGTGGCCGATCCTCCTTATAGAGGCCTTCATTCACTGATGCTGGACAAACAGGCTGACTATGACCGTAGACTGTGCCAGAACATAACAGTTCTATATTAACAACACATCTTTGAAATGATTAACATTTTTGATTATGTTTATTACAAGGCCAATCATTTTTTAAATCTAAATCCATTGTTTATATTATTCAACCAACAGATTAGTTCAGTGATCATGTAGCTTCTTTTAGAAAAGGCTGATAATTTAAGAAGTGTGAGCATGAATGATAATGATTACGTTTATAAACGCTTTCAACTTGCTAAACAGGAGGTGGTTCATTTGTAAAACAATAAATCATCCATCCATCGATTTTCTGTCATGCTATCCCAAGCAGGATTGTGAAGGGTGCTGGCGCCTATCTCCAACAAGAAATCAAACAATACAATTAAAAAAACAGGTAAAAATGTAAAATGAAAAGCACAAAGAAACATCCATATTAAAACAATAAAAGTTTAGGCTGCAGAGGAGAAGGAGAGCGAGTGGATCTCTACAGAACAAGCCTGCCGTTTATCTAGACGGAGCTTGTTTTTAGAAATATAGCACAATTAATCCCATGTAGCAATAAGGCATAAAATATTACCTTGAAGAGTTTATTTGCTATAAACTGAAGTTAAAGTTTCATCTCTAATTCTGAGAGCAGAACAATGACAGTAGATCTGTACATAAAGCATTGCCTTTCAGAGCTTGACATTTGCTATTCAACATGGAACATTTAGTGCATTTAAACCACTGAGGATATTTGTTCTCCTTAAGTTAATTACTAAGACAACCTATTCCTGTTCCAACCCATTTTACCGGGAAGTTGTTCCCTTTTTTCAGATGTCGACTTATTTATGTTTTCTCTGAAGCTCTTCTTCTGGTCTCATGTGGGCTGGCTGGAGAATTCGTGCTACAGTTCTAAACTCTGACATTAGCGTCACAAACGTCCGCTCTGCTGCAACATAAGTCACACTAAGAGGGTTTGTAAGCTTGAATACTTCCAGTGGAGCCGCACCTGTGACGCTGCTTGTGTGATTTCTGGGTGTTCAAGAAACATCGAATATGAAGGACTTTAGTTTCTATTTAAACATTGTGGTGGTCTTATTTTTTAACCTATCTGCTCAAGTTTAAAGTCAGCCCTATTAAGAAAACTTTTTTTAATCATTTTAAAATTCAATAAAAATATGTTTGTTTTTTTTAACTAACAGTAACGGTGAAATCCTTTAAAATCTGCCGTAATAAAATCTTGATATGTATCACTGTTTATGTCGTTAATCTGAGTAAACTTCCATTGATTTTCTAATTCCTTGAGATGTGCTAGTTTTTACTGGTGTCATGGCAACGGATCAGGTATCCAGGCTCAGTTAGTGAAGCCTTTTAGTGTAAAGATCACCTCTGGAACCACAGCCTTGGTTTCCGACTCCAGAGAGGTTTGGACTGGGGAAGCTGCTCTTCGTAGTCGTAACGTTCACTTCCACCTTTGTTTTCCTCCCTCTCTGTCCTTTTTCCTCATGCTGTGAAGTTGTTTTTCCTGCCGTGAGCCAGGAGACACTCATTGGAGGGGATAAGGAGGCAGAACGTGCTTGTTTGGAGGGAATGGGGAATTCTTCCTTTTGTTTTGGAGCTCAGTGTTTGACCTGTTGCTGGGGGCAACTGTAAACACGGTTGCCACGGTGACGGGCAGAGAGGAAGCAAAAGCATATCATGTGATCGAGACTTACACTGCCGTGTAACAGGATCCTGCAGCAAGTGGTGGACAGAGGAAGGGATCACTGCATGTTCTGCAGAAACAATGAACAGTTTAGAGCAGAAGAAACAGATTTCCTCATTTTTTCCCCCTAAATTAAATTAATCTGATCTCCTTTGATGAAGCTGTTGCATTAGATAAACTCCTAATCCGTTTACAATCAGGTTCTTGGTGTTGAAGCACAAAGCACGGCTTTCATCCATCCTGACAGGAGAGACGCGTTGCAGTTCAGGTCCCTGAAAGAAGCTAAACTGATGAAATGTGCTTCAGTTAGAAGGAAAACCTGACGGTGCAGAGAGCTGTAAAAGCTGGAGGAGCCGGGCTGAGCCAGAGGCTGCCTGCCTGCCCGCCCGCCCGCCTGCTTGGAGAAACTTTGTTGTGTCTCTGGTTGCCATGGTTCAGCTCTGTGTGTTTTGTCCTGCCCCCACCCCCCCCTGACTCCCCCCTGCAGGCTACTTTGGACGTGGTGATGAATCTCCATTTTCACTATGTTGAAAATCTGTGGCAGACCTTCTGGAATTCAACACCGCCATCTAGTGACAGCAGCACAGCCATCCCCAGCAGGTCAGACCGAACTCAGGAATACAGTGAAGGTATAAAACTTTGGATTAAAGCAGCAACATTTACGTTTTTCTTTTCTTCCTTCACAGCGATGATGACCTGGAGCGTGTGATTCCCAGAGAAAAGCTTGTAGCTCTGTGTAAATATGAGCCGGTCAGGCTCTGGATGAGGAGCTGCGATCACATCCTGTACCAGGCTCTGGTGGAGATCCTCATCCCTGATGTGCTGCGTCCTGTTCCCAGTCAGTTCTCATGATGTTTTCACTGGTTTGAAAAGTCGAGACACTCTGAGCAGAGATTATTCATCAGATTCTGATCCTTTTCTTCTAACCTAAGACTTGCTGATGAATCGTTTTTTTTTTGTGAAACGATTTAAAATGTTTTCATCATGTTCTTGCTATCGGTTCAGCGTGAGATTAGTAACAGTTAAAGTAAGGAGGGGAGGTGATGTCACACTGTGTGTGTTGGAGGATTTACCATAAAACAGGGTTTCATTATTTCAAAACAAAAAAATAGGGAGCTTTATTTTTAGCATTGAGTGGAAGCTGTTGCTGCAGTTAGCATAATAAAAGCAAACATAGTTGTAATTATCCTTTGAGAAAAAAAAAATGAAAGAAGGTAGACTGTTGGCGTCTCTGGGAAATTTCCAAAAGGTTGCCAACATTTACAAATCCTATATGATCAGATGGAAAAAAGCAGAGCAACTTTACGGTCCTCAACTTCCTGTTAGCTGCTTTAAGCTTTTTACATAGTTGGCCAGAGATTTGTCCCATCTGAAACAACAAAACCCAACAGCAACACAGTGACAGAGGAGGAGGACAGCAACATTTAGTCAGAAAAAAAAAGCTAGTTAAAGGCATTAAATACTTTTATTCAAATGAAAATCAAAGCTTTTTTAATCTCAATGTGCTTTAATTACAGAATCACAAGTGTGGAAATAAACCCAAATAATGAACGCTAATATAATGCAGATATATTTATAATGTTTGGATGAGGTATAATTATTTTAGTGGCAAAATAGAAATCTAATATAAACAACAGCAAAAATATGCAAACAAACTTGTCTTTATTATGAAAATTTGTTGTTGTAACTGGATACAGTGTCTAAGTATAAATAATTTAAATATTTATGACTGCCCAACAAGCTTTAGTGTCTCCTAGTTATAAAAAGAAGAGCCTTTGTAGAAACGGTTCTCACAGGAATGAGCCAGTCTTTGGCCAAAATAAAACAATATTAGATTTTAAACTGTTATCGGACCAATATGCAGATTTCCAATATCAGATCATGACATCCCTGAAAACAGGGAAGGTGCGGCCTGGAAAAGCTTGACCCTTGTCCACTAATGGATTGGAGAAAATCTTTATATTTGTTTTTATCAACTGGCTGATCTAACCTTAAATCATCCAGTTCCAGGATACTTGAGACCTTTTTATTGTAAAATCCCAAACATTTAGCAGTTAAAGCTGTTTCTATGGTTTTCTGAAACATTATTTTCCTGTTGGCAGCATCAGATCCCCAATATATGCTGCCAATTATTCTTTTTGATCCGATTATTGAAGATTTAGATGATAAAAATAACACATTGATAGAAAGATGTTTCATAAGTCTCACTTTAAACAGAAAAAATCTGATTTATTAACAAGTCAAAGATAATGCTAACAGGTTAGCACAGGGAGTGCTAACCTGTTAGCACTGCAATGGATTCACTTCACCCGATCTCTGAATATGGAGCCAGAAGGTAGAGAAGTGCAGCATCTATATAACCTAGATATTCATCAGGTAGAACAGACCCTGAAAGCCCATCTAGCTGCTTCATATGCTGTCAGACTTTATGTGCTTTTTGCTATTTATCATATGAAGACTTCAGTTAGGTATAAAACTTGGTCTTAATGTGTTAAATAGTTTTTCACTGGGAAGTCCTGCTGATGGTGCTGCTTTGTAAACCAGGCCGTGATGTTTCTGCAGGCACTCTCACCCAGGCCATCAGAAACTTCGCCAAAAGTCTGGAGGGTTGGCTGACGACCGCCATGACCAGCTTCCCCCAGGAGATCGTTCGCACCAAGGTAACCAAACCCGCCCCTCTGTAGCTGTTTATCCTGCTGCACAGGCATGTAGGGATTTTTAGGGAGAAGTTTCACATGCATCTGATAATATGAGTGTTTCCCTCTATAACCAGGCTGCCACTCGGCCTGATCGTTCATTCATTAGTTTGTTTGTGCTGTAGGTGGCAGTGGTGAGTGCGTTTGCTCAGACTCTGAGGCGATACACCAGTCTGAACCACCTGGCCCAGGCAGCCAGAGCCGTCCTACAGAACACCTCCCAGATTAACCAGATGCTCTCTGACCTCAACAGGGTTGACTTTGCAAACGTCCAGGTAAACTCCGCCTCCCAGCGCCTTTAAACCGTCCAGAGTTTGCTCCGGCGACTCTCACTGGGTGTGTCTGTGTGTCCAACAGGAGCAGGCGTCGTGGGTCTGTCAGTGTGACGAAAGCGTGGTGCAGCGCCTGGAGCAGGACTTTAAGGTCACCCTGCAGCAGCAGAGCTCTCTGGACCAGTGGGCTTCATGGCTGGATAACGTGGTCTCTCAGGTCCTCAAGCCTCACCAGGGCAGCCCCAGTTTCCCCAAAGCTGCTCGCCAGTTCCTGCTCAAGTGGTCGTTCTACAGGTAGGAAACCAGCAAGACCCAAACATCGGAGCCGCTCCTTAGAAAGATACAAACCCTGTGATTTTTCTTTTTCTTTTTATTTCATTTTAGCTCAATGGTGATCAGAGATCTGACTCTGCGCAGCGCTGCCAGCTTCGGCTCATTTCATCTGATCCGGCTGCTTTATGATGAGTACATGTTCTACCTGGTGGAGCACCGTGTGGCTCAGGCCACCGGAGAGACCCCCATCGCCGTGATGGGAGAGGTAGGAAGGATCAGATGGGACACTGCAAACAACTGCTTCTTGAAAGGTTTTCATACTCCTTAAACATTTAGTCTCATGCAGCCAAAAAAGCTCCTGCTGGGCTTTAGTGCTTTAGTTTCTGTTGGAAAATAAACCCAGATTTTCAACAGCTGGTTGTCAGGCCAGTTTATTCTGACACTGATATGTCAAATGAAACTCAGTTCAACTCATCAGAAGTTATAATAATAATTGAACGTTATTGATCTCACATTGGAGAAATGTACCTCTGCATTTAACCCATCCCATTGGGGAGCAGTGGGGGGTTAAGGGTCTTGCTCAGAGATCCAGATTACACCGCCTCTCCCTACCAGTTAAGTTACGCAATCATCAGAGGGTTAAAGTTTCCTTGATTAAATAAATAAATCCCAGATATAAAGAACAAAAATAATGGTTTTAACATGAACTAATGTGAACAACTTCTGCAGTATGAAGACTTTTCAAGGTTCCGTAAAGTTAATGTTCCTTTATTGTTTGATAATTTCTCCATCAAATCTTGTTACAGTTCAGCGACCTGACCTCCATGATGCCGTCATTCATGGAAAAAGGTGAGTAAACCCTTAGCAGGAACGCTCTCTCTCTGCAAGTCGGCACATTTATTAAACCTTTTCCAGAGATGCATCACATCAGTTATTAAAGCAACACTGCGTTACTTTAAACTCAGTGTCGTGCTGCGTTCAAAAACCACATTTATTTTGATCTTCAGGCGCTTGTCTTGAGCTGTTAGGTTTTGAAGCACATTCATAACTTCATGCTACAGAGTTGGAAAATCAAAACTTTTAAATGTATTTGGATGATGGCGTGTCATCCAATCAGAGAGCCCGATCCTCGTGATCTCTGCTCCTGCAGAGCTGACAGCAACAAACAAAGGTTTTAACTCCACTAGTTTTAAATGAAAGTTATTTTTCATGATATTTTCAAACTCGTCATTTTTCTCCCAGGATGGAAGCAGCATTCTTTATAGAGTGATGGTCTCTGCATCAACAACAGAGGTTCTGTCTGTAACTACTGTTTAATGCAGTGTGTAGCCTGTATTTACCGCCTGGTTCTTGGGCCACTCATATGATAATTACCAGGAAGCAATCAAGAGAAGCGGCCCAGAAATAGTCTCAGCAATACCCAAGAAGACACTTAATTCAGCTGCAATACATGTTCACACCATTAATGTGTGTGTGCTGCTCCAGTTTAAAACACTAGGTCTCTCCATTATGATTTATTGCTCCTTTAAGAGATCAAAACCTGCTGCTGTGAGTCATGCCTTGAATTTACAACAAACTCCATGGCGTCTCAACCCTCCAGTCCAAACTGGCCTGCTAGCACATTCCAAACACAAAGGATGACTGGTTCATTTTAGGTCTATGCCACCAGTTTGCTTTCATGGGAGCTAAATCTGAAGTGACAGCTCTAGCGCCCCTAGTGGCTAAAACGTTACACATTGTTGCTTTAATTGAAGTAAAACCAGAGTTTTCACTGTGCTAAGAGACCTGTCCTCTCTGTGCCTTTAGATGCATCCTTCTCAGATGAGATGAGTAATTTAGAAAGCGATGCCGACGTGTCCAGCGGACCCGCTGAACCAGCAGTGAAGAGGGAGAGGATTGAAATAAGCCATCCTCTGCAGGAAGTGTGAGTCCAGTCTGAGCGCAGGCAGAAAGCAGGCTGCTGGAGATGCAGCATTTCTTTCTCCTGCAGCAAGTGTGCAATGTAAATAGGAGGAGGAAGGGTTCTCCCTTTAGGTTTATTCTTTTTTTTTTTAAGTCACAGTTGTGTAAGAGATGTTTTGTTTTTGTTGGAACTGTGAATTACTTCTGTGCAGTAGCTTCTCATTATTATTGGATGTGTAACTTTAAATGGCGGTGTTTGTGGTTCGTCTTTGTTCCTGTTTTGATTTTGAAAAAATTGTTTTAGTTGCGCCATAGTGTCCTTTGAGTGCCTTAGATTACCTTTGAAATCACCGCTACAGATGTCAATCTGTCCCTCAGCTGTGCCTCAACCGCAGTATGAATGTATCGTCTTCAAACCTCAAACTCTCAGAGCACTTTCTACTCTGGTCTGGTTGTAGTTTTGCTCTCCTTGTTGCCTCTGCTGCTCCTCGTAGCATTAAAAAGGAAACGGTTAGAAGCTGGAGCTTGAAGCCTACGAACTCAAAGGACTTTTCCTTGAATTATTCCCAGCAGCTGCCTCTGTTTGAAGCAGCAGAGATTATCAGGGATTGAAACTCCTTGGATTTCTACCTTAAATGTTTCTATGCTGTGCTCCTTTTGGCTCAATTACATATATTTAGGGAAAAAACTATTCTTAGAAAGCTCTCAGGTCACCCATTGATCATATAAAGAGCCTTGCAAAAGTTTTCAAACCCCTTGAAGTTCTTTATTACAATTTGAAGTCAGGCATAATTATAAAGGATCTGAAAAGATTGTCTTCAGTCTGCAGGCTTCCTACCAGTTTTGCACATCTGCAGACAGAAACTTTTTTTAATTAGCTCAGGCTATGTCTGATTGTCAGTAGAGCACAAATTAACATTTAATTCTAAAAATTCTTAGCTGAATTTAGATCTGAACCAGGATGACCCAATGACTGTCCTGCTCTTTAGAGGCATCCCTCCTTCCTCAGCAGGCCAGTTGGAGAAGCGGTTCAGCCAAAGGCTGCAGGGGTTTGACTGAACCAATCCCGTGGAGCTCTGACTGCTGAACCTCAGAACTAGCCTAGAATGAGCTTCAGCATCCCCTTAGCATGATGCTACCATCTCCATGCTATAAAGTTAAGGTGGTGTGTTTTAGGGAAGAGCAGTCAAGTTTTTTTCCCATGCAACTAGAACACTACTGCTGAATCTTGAGGCTAATTGGACCTTTTTGTGGATTTTTCTGGGTCAATCCAGCATAAAAAAAAAAAGATTCCACTTTAGCTCCTGCTCTGTGCAGTTCCTCCAGAGTGTCCTTAAACCTTTGGCTGCATCCCTGATTAATGCTCCCCTTTATACAAAATGTTTCTGGTTTTATTTGTGTAAAATAAATCATTCTTTCCCAGAAGGTAGATTATTCAGGGCTGTGAATACTTTTGCAGGGTTTTGTCTACATAGAGCTGGAATAACATCCTAAATTATTCTGGAGTTGGAAATATTCCAGATTAACCAACAGGATTGTGTCAGGATGTTCAGAATCCTCCATGTTAGATCTTTGGACCTAGAACCTTTAACAGATCCGAGCCTCAAAAACTCATTTTCCATTTAATGTCTTTCTAGTCTGAGTGAAACAGGATAATCCAGTGTGTTATTTGGGGAACCATATTAATAATTTCCTGTTTTTCCGTAGAGCAGCTCAGACTGCAGCCTGAACTCTGATGTTAAATGTCTAAAACTTAAGTTTATCAGTGCAGACCAGCTGCTGGCCGCAGTTACCCACAATGTCTGGAAAAAAATTCCTATTTATGAAATTTGATGGATTTGTGTTGAAATCGTATATTTTTTTTCCCCCTCAGAGGATGTTGTCGTAGCAACAAGAGTCTTAAGTTGTTTAAGGCTTTTAGTAACTCGTGCCTGTCACTGTAATCTGCCTTAAAGTGCTTTTGGAGGAAATGATTTCTATGTGTAACGTTTTGTAAAACTGTTTTAGATTATTTTCTATTGAACTAGTTTCTTCTCACAAGTATACGGAACTTATTTAGTGTATTTTTAAACCTGTTCTTGACACTTCAGCTAGCCTAAGGACAGATCTGTAATAAACTGCATACCTTCACTGTATTTTGTACTTGGTCACAATGTTTAATAAACTGTTGGAAATCCAAATCGTTTCAACACATTTATTTATTTATTATCTTTTATCAATTCTTAACACAAAATTTCTACTTAAAACAAATATCTGCTTTACAAACAGGTTTTTCTATGTTTGATAGAAGATCAAACAAACGTCTCCTTGATCCTTCAGGTTGGTACAAAGATACATTATTTACATTATTTAAATACCCTCATGGCAGCACAGCTCAAGACTTTATTTTATTTATTTCAAATCAGCACTTTAATATTTTCTATAATTCACTGAAAGACATGTTGCGTATTTCCAGTCTCTCAATCCAAACAGAGTCTGAACAAAGCAGCTTCGTTTAAAAACAGTTTCTCTCCAGAAAACGGCCGAACAGTTAAAAGCACCACAAACAACCCAAGTTAGAAGGGAAAGAAAAAAAAAGTATTTACAGGAAAAAGGTTGGTCCTAAAACAGCAGGACGTGGTGGAAGCGCACGGTGTCCTACGTGACGGAGCTAGCTTCTGAAAAGTGCAAAGTTCTGAGGACCAGCAGCGAGGATCTGTTCAGGAACCTGATGGTTCCTGCTCAGGTTTACAGGGAGCAGCCGGCCATGTACTTCCCTGTGGGAGAGAGACCTCAGTTAGAAGCCAGCAGATTCATTAAACCACATCTATAACGTCAATTTATCAGTTTGAAACAATCATGATTTGAATCCTAAATAATTTAAAAGCTGAAATGAAAATGTTTCTGTCAGACTGTAAAAGTTGCAGCGATACTTGATCAACATGATCCTGAGCTGCAGTTCTGCATCACTGCTAGTCCTGCTGCTATGATGGTAATGATCTGAAGTTACCTGCTGGTTCTAATTAATCCAAGTCATTGACATGAAAGGTCTGCTCAATAAAATCCATCTATGATTTTTTTTTTAAGTTTCTTGAACTGTCCATGTCTGCTGCTCTAAATGTAGGATGTTAGTCCCACCTGTGGCGAATCTCTTCTTGACCAGCGACATGCGGTAGCGGGCCCCCACCAGCTCCACATCCATGCCTGACAGCGACGTCCCAGAGCCCACAAACTGAACGGCCAAGCTGGGCGGGGGGCCGCGGGGGGCCTCCAGGCACTGCCAGCTGGCACACAGCGTCCCTGAGCCTGGAACACACAGCACACCTTGATCATCGAGCCGCTTATTTAGCAGGAGAAAATGTTCATGCAGGTTTAGAAACTTTTGCAGTTAAAAATAAATAAAATCCTGATGAGGATGGCAACAAAGCGACGGGAAAAGAAGCAGCTTGAGAAGCATAGAGACAATTTAGCATTAAAAAAATAATCTTGTTTATAATTTGGGGGAAGCTGAACTTTTTTATTGGTTGAGAATACTGCGATATGAATCGTTTTGTAGTTCCTTTATTTTTTTTTCTGGACACTCACATTAACCTTCACCAGAGGTCTTCAACAGGGGGTCCGCGACCCCTAGGGGGTCCGCGGAGGTACTGCATGGGGGGGTCGCGAAAGTCTTGGTTGATTACTTTTTTTATATTCCCTCCTGCAATTTTTTGCACTAATTAAAATGTCTTTAAATACACATTAACATGAATTCAACGCACTGTAGTAAACATATAAATGGAGGCAGAGGATCTCTTTCAGTCATCAATGCACACATTCAGCGACACACAGGAGCTCTTTCAAACCTGGGCACCATTTCATTGGCAACACCTGTCCCATTAACCAGGAATCAGAATCAGAAATACTTTAATAATCCCAGGGAGAAATTACTTTTGTTACATGACTCCATATGCAATAGAGTGACCATAGGACCAGTTTGATATAACACAATTTCATACAATATATAATTAGGGGGTCCCCGCTCTATCTCGCAATCAGTTTGGGGGTCCTTGGCTTTGAAAACGTTGAAGACCCCTGACCTACACTTTTTTAGACATTTTAAACTTTGAAAGCAGTACTCGAGACGAGCGGGGGTTAATAGACTATATTAATTAGACTGTGTGTGCTTCCAAGAAAAAAAAAAGAACACCCCCCTATTTTTTATTTTTTTTTTACAACTAGACCACTGCCTGTCGGAGACCCTAAAGAATCCTGAATGATTTGAGAGAAGGAGGGAGGAAGAAAGGATTCAATTCAGCCTTCTACTAATTTCTGTCTCAGTTAGCCATCCTGTTATCCCTTTAGACCAATTCAAGCTGAATCTCTCTGGAAGCACCTCAGTCGTTTTTTACTGTTGTCCTCCAAGGATCAGCCTTTTACTCATTTCTGTCTCAGTTAGCCTTCCTGTTATCCCTTTAGACCAATTCAAGCTGAATCTCTCTGGAAGCACCTCAGTCGTTTTTTACTGTTGTCCTCCAAGGATCAGCCTTTTTATTCATCATCTCCTTCACCCCTCTGGATTATACTGTTTCAGTCACTGGTTCCCAATCATTTTAAGCAGCCATCCTTTAAACTCTTCCTCAATCTGATACAGCTCTTTGTGACCCGTCACATTGTCATCCTCCACAGCAACGTTACTCCATCTGCTTTTTATCACCTTTGCAATAATAACTTCTCCATCTCTCTCTCATTGTTTTCCAGTCTTCCTTAAAGCAATCCCCTCTTCTTCTTCTCTCAGAACGCAGTCGCTTGAGTCATCACCCAAACCTTCCTACGATCCAATCACTCCCATCTTCTACTCTTACTGCTCAATGTCTGAAAGCATCTGTTCAGATTATCCATCCTGCTCCTGCCTTTTAGCTGCACAGGAGCATACATAACTAAAATGTATTATGATACGTATGTTGTGGTGTTAAACAGTTGAAGCGGCTGAGACGGCTCCAGGTTAGTCGGAATGAGGAAGCAGGGCTCTGACCTTTGCTGTGGTTTGTCGGGGAAAGGTTGGGAAGTTTCCACAGCAGTCGACGTTCCTCAGCGTTCCTGCAGGGACGGAAATTTAAAGTCAGTAAATAGTGAAGCAGGATGCAGAAGGAGCCACGGCCATGTTGCAACGTCGCTGCTTCAGCCAAACTGAAAACACTGAATACTCCGTAATCCTGGGCTGTTTAGGAGCCGTAATCTGGACCTCAGATTAGCTTTTCTCCCTTTGCCCCCGCAGAAGTCCACCTTTTCCTTTAAGTCAAGAGTTTCTATCAGCTATAGGATTGATGAAATGTAAAATATGAATCATCCAGCAGCAGTCGCTCCACACACTACAGAACTTAATTAGTTCAAGAATAAATCAAAAAGGTTCTTCCTTCCAGGCCCATTTCATCACAGCTGTTTTTAATCTAAATTTGGTTCCTACATTAAGAGCCCCAGAACCTCCCAGTTCCTTACATCTTTCCTGGTAACTCAGTCCTAAAAAAGACCCTGAATCGTCAGAAAACCGTATCGATTGGGTCACAAGATGAACAACTTAACTGCTGCGATATGAACACCTCAAATTAAATGGGTTCTGTTCATTCTAGTTCTATGTGACGGGTCCTCTGGCCCAGCAGGCTCTCTGCTCACCATGAGGCGGGAGGCTGGCACTGCACGTCTGTGGCGCTGTGGTCCAGAGGCATCAGGACCTGGACTGAGGTGAGCTGAGTGGAGGGCGCTGTGGCGGGGCAGCAGTGATAATCCAGGGACACTCGGGTCACCGTGCCGCTGCGCTGACACTCCGCTGATAACAGGAGAGGAGCTCGGCCCGGATCCTGTGAAGAAACCTGAGGGAAACAGATCAGAGGTCTAAAGGAACCTAAAAGAAAAGGTTTTCTACATCCAGCTGGTTTCTATTTAGCAGGATTTTTTCTGTTTAAAGAAAAGAAAAAAAGAAAATCCTCAGACTTTCGGACCTGGTACTTGAGCACGCCGACGTTGTAGTAGGATGCCTGCGGGTTAAGCTCCGCCTCTCTCTGCAGGTAGAGCTGCAGAGCCTGCATGTTGAACCAGAAGTCCCTGGTTTCTGGGTCACTCTGGGATGGATCACTGAGAGGAAACGGACTCGG